CAATGGAGGGTTGTAAAGGTACGGGAAAGAAATGTTGTTTCTTGATAGTTTCACAGGATTCAGGTTTAAAGCTTGGCAGAAGAACTCGAAGTGTACTGATTCTACTTTCTATAGTACCTACCCCATAGCGGTCAGAGTAGTTTTTATAATAGTAGTCCAAATTATAAGAATCTGGTTCTTGAGTAGTAAGAGTAGGCATTGTTGAAATTTTGAAGATTTGGTCAATTCGATAAGGGGGTGTAACAAATAAGAGGTGTGACAAATAATTGATGTGACAAATAAGGGATGTGACAGTTAGGGAGTGTGACAGATAAGATATCACCTGGTGTAATGATTGGCGGATCGATGGGATCACTGAGATGCAAAATTTGTGTAAAGTTAATTAGAACTAAAATAGTAATAAGGCTTTTTGTATAAAAATAGATGGAATTGTGCAATATGATTAATAATATTGATTTGTAATCTTGATCTGCAATTTGGGGCGCCCTAGGGGAGGTAGAATCCCCAAAAAAACAGAAAAAATTTTTGTAAAAATTAAGCAAAGTTTTATAACAGAGTTTTGTAGTAATTTAATAATAAAATCTGAAGTATCTGTCCATTTTTAGTATAAAATATATCAAATTGAAGCTCTTTTTGAGCGTAATCTTTTTCTATTAAGGAACAATAGAGGTTTACTTAATAAAATTTTAAGTAAATTGCAAAAGTATCAAATTTCAAATATATAGTTATAGCTCGGAAGCAAAGAGCTTTAAAGCTATAAAACTAGGCCGCCTATAAGTAAAATTAAGTATAAAACAACTTTACTTAGGCAGCCAGAAATGGTTTACTTAATAAAATTTCAAGAAAATAGCAATTGTTTTTAAGAAAAATTTGGTACAAGTGATCGTCGGGAAGAATTAGTGATTTGCGTCTAACAAATCTAACCTATTCTTTTATAATAATAACTAATTTACATATTACTGGACCAATTCAGAAACCTTAGCCAAAGGAACAGTTCTTATGATTTGCAACCACCTCAAACCACATGTATACAGCTGCTTAATACATCCTGGTGGTGCAATTGTACTCAACCTTTTCTTCAAAAGTCAAATTAAACTTCATATTATATCTGTTTACCTTTCTTCTACTGATTTACACAAAAGAAATATCACATAAGACATAGTCATTAACTAGATCAAACAAGTATTTGAACAAAACCTTCACCCAATTATTCTCAGAGGCTTTAATACACAAGACTACATACACAGTTCTTCCTCAAAATATAAGCTTATCAACTTTCTAAACTATTCTAACATATATAACATTGGTATCAACTTCAACAACACCTATTATATTTGGTTCAATAATACAAGTAGTAGCCATATTGATTATATTTGGACAGACCAATTCAATATACAGTTTCTGCTATCTTACAATTTGGATAATAGCAAGTTAAGCACTACTAGTGATCACCTCATTCTTTTAACAACCTGGACCTTCCCTAATGTATATAGCAAACCATCATGACAACATACTGAAATTAGCTATAGAATCTTTAACTACAAACCAATGTCATTAGAAAAATGGACTGAATTCTCAAATCTCTTATCATCCAAGCTTCAATCACACCATACACCTCTTATCACTGAAACCTCAGAAAGTCTTGAAACAACCTGGCATAAGATTGAACACTCTGTTATTTATGCTGCAATACAATCAATCCCTAACAAAATTAGCTACAAAAGCAGCTACAATCATAAATACACACCTCACAATACTTTGCTTTATCTATCTCTCAAAAAACTTGGACAACTGATCAAAATAGTCAAAAATACCAGTAACAATAATACCATCAATATCCCTCATATAAATAATCAAATTGATACTCTTAATTACAAATCTCAATGCAACCTTCAACCTCTCTCTTCATCAGACTCATCCCACCTTAGCCAATAAATCAAACATGCCTAAGATACTTGAAAACAACTTTACTATGCATGCCAAATGGAGAACTCTTTGTTATTGCGCCAACAAATTCAAGAAGTATCAGAAAAAAGATGCAATACTCTTGTAGCTTGGCCTACACAAGCTATTAACAGTATTCTGAATCGATATTATTCACCTATTCAATTTTCAAACATTAAACTGCCAAATGAACTTATTACTAAACCCCATCTTATTAAAAAACATATTCAAGCACACTTAGAAAATTGGACCACACACAAACCCATTAACCATTCAATATTCTCAAACTTTTAGCAACAATATTACACACCACATTCACACATTAACTCTGATTAGTATAACAGTTTAACCACAATAATTATAGATGATAAGGTATCACAGAGTTATATAATCACCGTGGCGATTATAATCTTGCCCAGATGGCTTTAACTTTATATATATTCAGTCTCGCTTGGCACAGTCTACTTTCTCCTTTACTTACAAACTCCAGGATAACACACGTAAGTATTTACTTATACTGAAACACCCTTTTTTTTTTCTTTCGTCTAGAGACTAATTTTCACTCTTTATTTTTATTTTCTATTTATATTAATTTTTCGTTATATTACTTTGTACAACACTGATTATTAATTTACTTTGATTCACCACCTTTACTTTACATTCGTTATTTACATATAAATTTCTATTGTATACCTTGTGCTACCCTTAAACTATCTCATGCATTATTAATTTAATAAACTTTATAATCATGCCTAATTTGTCATTATTATTATACATCTGACGATCATGGTACCTAATGTACCCGATCTCATTAATGCCGCCCAACACTAGGATCTTCCATACGGCCCCGATCGATCACATGATCACATGAGTCATTTGAACCATATTCCCGTCGCACTTTTCCACTTGTTGATTCATAGTGCATTTCGCTATCGATCTGCATCCTTTTTACAAAATACAAAGGCTCTTTGAAAACTATGCGATATAAGGTGCTCTGCACTATTGCAAAACTTCCTAATGGCAAAGCTTGTGGCCCTACTGGCATAAGCTACAAAATGCTTAAGCATTCAGGCTCCACCTGTATTCAAGCTCTAACTGCTCTCTTTAACCGTTGTCTTACCACAGACAACATATCAAAACAATGAAAACATGAAAGAATTTACCCAATTCCCAAATGCAATACCTTCAATAGTGATCTCAACCTTATACGACCCATCAGCTTGATTAAACACACACGAAAAATCTATACAAAATCCTCACCAATAGACTTAACAATGTATTTTCACAGCATCCTATTTTATCTCCCTTTAACTATATCGCCTTACCTGGTAATAGCACCTCAATTTCTATTCACATCCTCAACAACCTCATAGAAGATGCAGCATGCAACCAGAAGAATATATGGCTATTATCTCAAGACATGAGTAAAGCCTATGACTTTGTTAACCTCAATCTCTTAAAACAATCACTACTTTATCTCTCTTTACCTACTCCTATTATCAACACTATTTATAATCTCTTTACAGATCGACACAACCAAGTTATTACTTATTTGGGACTTACTTCTTCATATCCAGTACACAATGGTATAGATCAAGAGGAAACTATTACTCCTCTATTGTGGAGAATCTACTATGACCCTCTTATTACTTATATTCATCACCAATTTACTGGATACACAATTAAAACATCATGGATTACTAATCTTAAAGAAAAAACCCTCAACAAACTTCAAACTCACTGCTTTGTTCTCACTTATATAGATGACACTCTCTGGATTGCATCTTTACAAGCTGAACTATCTCACATAATTTCTGTTGCAGAATCCTTTTATAAAAAGGTCAATATTCAAGTTAACCTATCTAAATTTATACTTAGCACCAATAATCCTTCTTCTAACTATCACTCTATCACCTTCAACAACCATGCTCTCTCTCTATACTCACACTATGAACCTTTTAAGTTCCTTGGTTGTTGGGTTACACTTGATAACAAACACCACAAACAAACACAACTAATTGTTAATGAATCATTCTATTTAATACAAATTGCAAATCCTAAATGCATTACAGATACACATGCTTGTTATATTATTAATACTGTCATTATTCCTACTATTGAATACCATCTACAAAATCTAGTTCTCAGTTACAGTACTTGCAAAAAATTCTCATCCACCATATTGGTCTTGTTAAATGCAAAGCCAAACTTAGTCATACTATTCCTACTACTACTCTTCTACACCTACAACTATATAATATTTATAACATCTGGGATATCCAACTTCAGCATCATATCTCTAACTATATTAAATGACTTAACAACAAAGATCTCTTAGGAATCTGCTTCCACATCTGACTTCAGCAACTTCAAAATAATCTCTGGTCTCCTACTAATATATTTCTACATCCAAATCTAATTATTGATAGACCCAATAAGCTTACTACAAGCTTTAAAATCATCCAGCTATTTAAACACCTTGGACTCTCTATTACTCCCAATATTTCAGAACAGATTCTATATACTATTTCACCAAACTCTACCTCTTTAGAATCTATATTATCTTCATATCCTCAATATCCAAACTTCAAAAAACAACTTTGCTACCACTATATTATGTATCTATATCAACTTACATCCTTTGACAATTCTTGCCTGCTCAGCTGGCAACATATTTCACCTAGAATTCACAAAGTTCCCAAAGGGAGACAACCACTATGGTTTACTACTTTAGAAGATAATGTTATTAGTTATTACTCCTTCCGAATGTTATATAATCATATTCAACTTCCTAATATTAATTATTATTGTTATACTACTGTACATTTTTCTCCACACTCTAAACCTTGGCTAATTACAGCACTTAATAATCAAATTATTATTGATAAAGCCCGTA